TCGGCGAGCTCGTTTCCTCCTGCGTTTTATTGCTTTCCTGTCTTTCGCAGGCACTTCAGAGGATTGGGCTTTGGCTGAAGTCGAAGCATGAGAGAGGAATGGTGGTGGTGGTGGCGAGGGGACAAAATGTTTTTTTAAAAATGTGCTTGCGAGCTCTACCTCGTCGTCTGCGACCGGGGGAGCCGTCACCCGGGCAGGCCGACACTGAGGCCGCAAAGGGCCGACGCTCGAGGGAGTCGGAGAGCGGTCTCTTTGTCTCGTGTCGGGGCCAGGACCTGTTGGCCCGGTCCACTAGCCGACTACTAGGAGATCAAGGGGCTGAGATTGGTGGATCGGGGGGTGTGGGTGGGAGGAACACCGAGGCTAGAGCAACAGAGAGAGGCTGCGAGGGTTTCTGGGTGTCCAGCCTCACCTGCCTGCTCGTGTCCGTGTCTACACATCCAGCGCTCTGCACCGCTTCAGTCCGTGTGGTTGTTGACGGGCTTCCCGTCCGCCGGGGCCTCCTTCTCCGCTCCGTCCTTGGGCTTTCGCCCGCTCCGCCCGGTCAGCACTTTGTAGCAGCCGCGGGCGATCTTATACATCCAGATGGTGTTCAAGATGTCCAGGGCGATGCAGGAGGTGATCCAAGCCACCTGGGCGGCCAGACCCAGCCGCGCGAAGTCCTCCGTGCCGAAGGTGGCGAAGACGCTGCCCCAGTACGACGGCATGACGGCGGTGCGCACCAGGAAGAACACCACCGCCATCGCGACGCCATTCACCACCACCAGGCGGTGCGAGCGCGGGTACTTCAACATCTCAAAGAACCACCTGGGGGGAGAAGGTGACGATTAGAAATGAGCATCTGTCACACAGTAAAACAAAGAAGGGGGGATGTGTGGACCAATATAAGGTTATTCAGACTCACCTTTGGTTCACAAACGGCGTGGACAGCTCTGAAATGAGGCGGAAGTTGGCAAAGTAGGGAAGCACGCCTCGTGTCTGCAAAGACGAGCAACGTGACACAAACACATTACTATGTATGAATAATCAAGGGTCTCCAAATGCTTCTGAAGTTCAAACACTCACCAGCACGTATCCGTATGCATAGAGCGCCGCCAAGTGGTGACAGACAAAAAAGCTGTCCCCCATGGTGCTCCAGTTACAGGCCAGCAGCACGAGGTCTGGAGGACAGAGGGGGCACGCCGGTCACAACGGTTACGGTTATGTGGGCGACGGCACCACAACACGAGAGCAAGACTGTGGTCATAACCTTCACTTTCTAAAAACAGTCGGAGTCAAGTTGTACCGGGGTAGACAAAACACTCCACGAACAGGACAATACCACCTTTTGACATATTCAATATTTTTATCTTTGAAAAGTCTCATGTCAAAGTGCAGATCGCTGGGCCTCTTATGCAGCCGACAATGCATTCAGTCTAAAATGACCGGCGTCGCGTTGGTGGTTGCGACTCTAATCAATTTACCTCAGGGAGAAGAAACTGCACGAGTGAAAAGGGGAAAAGGTTAGAACGTGACGGAAACACTTGTAGAAGACAAAGAAGAAGGCTTATGAAAGCTAAACTGTGGTTATTAACCTTCAATTTCTAAACAGCAGTCTCAAGGCGAGCACCCAGAGAATGAAAGGCCCTTTATTTGTTTTTGGATCAATGCTCAGTTTAAAGTCAGTTTAAAGTCCCCCACCCACACACACACACCCCCCCACCCCCCCCCCCCCCCCCACCCACACACACAAATGATCAACAGGAAAACAAACAAAAATAGCTCACCGTAAAGGAGGTAACCACAGGTTATGGCCACGTTTAGTTTGACGAGACTGGGGTCACCCCTGTGGGAGAAAGCAAAGAACAGTGTGTGAGAGGGTGCATTCAAACACTCGGCGTGGGGAGAGGGAGCTGCTTACCAATCCGGAGGAAATCTAAGAGCGCTCGCACCGCGCGCCTCTGATCGAAGCAATTTTTACAAACGACTTTATGAGACTGTGAATCGAGCAGAAAGCTCATTGGGGGATGACTGATGCTGATGTGCTGACTGTGATGCACCGTTAGGTCTTGATTAAAAAGAAAGGGCTTTGTTGGTGGTGTGTCCATAACTGATCATTTTTGATTTGTTTCTGAACAATCTGTGCCGACGCGCTCTGGTGACTAATAAACTCTGCTCAGACAGACACCCGACCCCGCTTTTGCTCTCGCTGTATCGTATGGCGAATGACACGGCTGACCGCTTGTGTAACAGGACCCCACGTCACACATACTGTACAAACACACATATACGGCCCATGTGAGCGCACACACACACACACACACACACACACACACACACACACGTACTGTACTGTACAACAGCTAGCCTCACCCCCCTCTCCCCCAGACGACCCTGAACGCACCGCTGTCAAAAGTGATCCTGCAGACTTCACCCGATACCGTTCAGCACACCGTCCACTTTCGCTATAGGCGCTTTGACTTCGAGTGCACACGAGTGGAATGTATGAAAATATGCTTATTGCATTTGTGTGCATGTGCAACATGAAATTCTCTGGTCGCCTCGTCAGTGGTGCGCACCGTCTCTCTCCCCCCGATTGTGCGTCTCATCCAACGTCAGAGAGAGACAGTCCTGCTGTTAACTGATCGGTTGTATCACTTTACCTCTGCACTTGAAATGCAGCGGGCAAATATAAGATTGGCTGTCCCCCCCCCCTACACATATGTCTGCCATCAACAACAAGAGTCCAAAGGCTTCATGATAATCACATCAGTGTGATCCAGCTTCAGCTCATTAGACGTACAGCAAACCCAGGCTCCTCTCTCACTGGAGGGATAACTGACTGGTATTTGACCGAGAGAGAGAGAGCGAGAGATATGGAGCCTTTCACATAGGAAGTGCTGCAGTAGTGCTGACTCAACGGGCCTCAGGCACTCATTTGAATTCAAGTGTTTGTTCCTCTACCGGCGTTTTATAATGAGATCACTTCTGATATTACATGGTTTCAGATTTTGGTATTTATTTATTTTTTATTCTGTAAATCTTTCTATCTGGAACTTCAGGTTAAAAAGTGCTATATAATAAAAATATTAATATCATGATTAGTGTATGAACTTGTCACATTCACTAGTTCAGTTCAGATTATTTTGAAGAGAGGTTGTATGAGGTGCTGATACATAGTCCGTGTATGTTTGGAGAAACAGAAGTAGCAGCATGAAGGCAAATCAAAGCACTGTTGTGGACATCAACATGAATACCGGTTTAAGTGGACGCTGTATTTGGAATATTTTACCTGCTTTACATTGCTGTCAGACAGCCCTTTGAAGCCGTTATCTACGCTCTCTTATAGACACCAAACCGCCTCGCTGAGTTAGTTAAGTTATTGTGTTTTAAAGGGTTAGTGCGGATTCCCCAAAGTCACGCACTAAACAAACTGGTGCACCAGCAGCTCCAGTGTTCTGCTATGTAAACTTACTGTTTTTGTTGAAGGAGTCTTGCGGTTCTATTTGCCCGTAGTAAGAAAGGCTCTCCGGCGGCGAGGTAAAGCGATAGAAATATTCTGAACATAGCGTACACTTAATCAGACAGATTCTTTCTACATTCCTGCTGCCCCCGTCCACAGCAGCACAGCTCGTCTCCTGTGCTGGTACTCACTGTCGGTTTCTCCATACTGGAGGCGTGCCGACCGCCATCTACTGTAAGAAACACACCGATTATGGAGAAGTAGATTTCATATACAGAGAGGCTGCTTTTCTCAGCAGGGGGACAATAATACAAATATTCATATAACAATTATAATGCCTTCATCTGAATAATTAAGGCAAAATACAAATGAATGTAAAGTTGACCATATCAGTTTAATGGCCAATTTACTTCTTTTTTTTTTATTATAAGTTTTTTTTAACAATTCAGTAGCAGCTAGGAGAATGTTGACCCTCAGTCTTCACACAGGTTGCTCAGTGGAACATCACCTGTAACGTACTGTACTGTTAGCTGCCTCCCGTTGTAGTTACGGGTCCTGTACACCGTGGGGGTTGTTTTTGGTTGTTTTGTTTTTGACCAATGACAGCTGCTGCTGACTGCCGCTACAACGACCATGGTCTACAAACCAATCCGAGCAGAGCATGACATCCTTTAATGAACAGGCAAAATGAAACGTGAGAAAAGAGTAAAAGACACGAAGGACAAGAACACGAAGACGTTCCTGCATGCGGCCCAGTGCCTTCTAACCCAACCTGGAGGCTGATAGGACGTGTTGGAATATTCTAAGTTAAATATTATATCTAAACCAGCTCGCCCGCAACTCGCCACGACCCTGAAATTTGAACCCTCATTCTGCTCGGATGGTCCAGATAAGCCAATCGAGAGATGCGGTGCTCGTTAACCGAGTGGATTATGATAACAGCCAAAAGGCCCGTGTGCTGCCAGTGAGAGTGACACTCCGAAAGAGTCTGAAAACAATGCCAGGTTGTTGTTGTAGCGGTCAGGCTCTGAGCTACCGGAGAGCAGAGCAGCCGGGGGAGAACAATGCGGCTGTGTGACGGGTCTTAATGATGCTGTAATGCAGTCGGATTGACGGGAGAATTATCGCTTGCGCCACTCGGCTGCCAACAAGATCAGCTTCGGAGGCATTAGGGACACTGCTGGGGATCAGATAGGTGCCTGAGGGCGACGAGGGTAAGTTTAGCAAGAGGAGAGGAGGGAGGGGGGGAGGGGGGGGGGATACGCCTGGTTGAAGCAAACTGCAAGGCTTGAGTTGGAACACCAAAAATATTTTATGACAAAGAGGCTTTGGAGAGGAGGGTTCAGATACTATAAGCACCTGAACACATGTAAATTGGTAGAAGGGAGAGAGAGACCCCCCCCCCCCCCCCGCCTTCGCCCCCCCCCCCGAGAGTTACACCCCCCCCCCCCCCCCCCCTTCGCTCCATCAGCGATGCTGGCCCAGGACCAACGCCTGAGACCATGAGAGTGCGGTGCGCTGCATTGATTCGACAGCCAGAGACGTAGAGTGCAACGGGCCGCTAGAGGCAGGTGGGGGGGTCCATATGAAGAGAGATGGAGAGAGAGAGAGAGAGAGAGAGAGAGAGAGAGAGAGAGAGAGAGAGAGAGAGAGAGGAGGGGGTGCAAGCACTAGGCTGCTGTTGTTTGCTGTGAAAAGGAGCCTTGTTGGAGGATTCTAGTCTAGTCTGCTCGAGAGCCAGAGAAACAGAGGGGAAAAGAAAAGAGAGAAAGAAGAAGAAGAGTGTAAGAATAGAATGGAGAAGTAAGAGACGGAAAGCTGAGGAGACATGCTTTAAAAAAATAAATAAATAAATAAATAAAAAAAGATTTGAGATATTGGCGAGAGAATCACCATTTCTCTTTTTCAGAACTCATTGGTGCAAATAACGCAGTCAGCAGTAGCGCAGAGAGAGAGAGAGAAAAATAATCAAAGGCTAACTCCACTGAATGTACAACTCTCCAGAGACTCCACTGACATATTAGACCCCTCCCCCTTCCCTCTTTCATTCTGATGAAGGGAACACCATCGCCATCCAAAAGCTTTTAACCAACCCCGACGATTCCCTCCCACCTCCCTCCATTTCCTCCCGTCCCCTGTGAGCCGGTCGTGCCTGCTGCTCTGAAAAGGCAGATGTGAGGAGACAAGTTTCTCCTAAAAGCAGAAAACGCCTAAAGCATTTTGTTTTTTTGAAGCCTGCCAAAATGACGAAGCATAATGTGTCGGAGGTTTTGCAGCAGAACTGCTACTGTGCTCATAGGGTTGTATTTGTTTTCATGTCACATCTTCTCCAGCCGTGTTTCATTGGATTACAGTGTTGTTGGATATTTTATTTATGAACGAAACGTTCCGGAGCTGAACAGTAAGGGTTGCCCATGGCAACCATTTTAAGAAACCAATTCTTGGCCTTTCGTTGCCATCAGTGCCAACCACCTTTTAACATATAAAAGAATAGGAGTGGCAGTTTTAATATTCGTTAAATTAGTGATATTTAATTATTGCCGTTTCAGTCAGAACCAGAATAAGCTGCACGTGAGTTGGTGCATCAGCAGCAGCCACTTTAAGGAATGTGTGTTGGGCTTTCTGTTCTTCTTACCAGACGGGGTTGGCGTTGACGACGTCATCGAACCACAGGATGTACAGACAGAACAACCCCACGACCAGAGCGTGCACAGTCGATACCAGCCTGGGGACACACACACACACACACACACACACACAAAAACAAAGTGGTAAACATGATGACGAAACAACAGTTTCTTCTTCTGCCATTAAATATTCCATCCAGCCTTCAGTGATCCCGTATGGAAATCTGATTTTATGATGCGCATATTTGATTTGATATTTGGTATGTTTACTCCCCCAGAAAAGCCCAGACCAGGGATTGAACCGGGAGCCCTGAGCGGAGGCTGATTAGGTCTCCAGGGTCTTGATAACAGTTTGTATTTAATTGCATCTACGTTATCCGCTAAGTCCACGTGGCGGTGACTTCTTCTTTATCAGGCTTGATACAGTATCGCCCCCTGACCTTTGGAGTGCTTATCTGTTCGACTGAAGAGATACTTCAGAGAGTTCAGCGGCCCTTATCGCCGCTCCGCCAGAAACACAAGTCCTCCACAGTCGTCACGCAGCCCCTCTAGGGGAACAGCAGTTCACTGTCCGCTGGGGCCACGGCTCTACAGCCGGGCTACCATATGACCGGATGAGTCCATTATTACCTCTGAATCACTGCGAAGAGTCTAAAAACAGAACGTCCATAGAGGAACTTGTGCTAAAGGACGTGTAATGCAGCCGATCTCTAGTTCCAGTGTCTGCATTGAGAAGCTGTCTATTATACATCTGTCAAGTAGTCACAGTTAAGAAGAGAAAAAGACAAAGAAATCAGTAAACAGTCTTCTCGATTGTGCGGCTGTGCTTCAATACTAGACGGTCGACCCGGCTTCCTCTTTGGAAACGCTTCCTCCCTCTCTTCCCCTTGCACTTAAGTCGCGGTTACATAAACAACATGCTGACAAACAGAGCTGGCTGTTATGCAACAGCAGGGCCACTGAAGAGAAGCATCAGTGCCTGGGCCTTTGCCTCGTATTGGACTATTCATTGGTGAATACACCCCGTTCTTTCACATGAGGAAGGCCTAATGCAAACTATAGCTGACTGAATGAAGGCTTTTTTGTGAGGGACTGGCAGACGGCAAAAGAGACAAAAAGACAAAACAAGAAGTTATGCAACTACAAATCATCGCCCTCTGAACTTCACCCCAGAAGCTTCAGCTTGAAACCTAAAACCTCACAGCTGCAGTTACGTAGAACGACGACGAGTCACCGGAAAAACACACACACACACACACACACACACACACGTGTTTGCTCAACACGGGTCAGTTTTGTCAGGAGGTCACGACTTTGCAATGTTACACAATGACGTGGTGGTATTAGGAACTGGTAGGGAGGCGCGTCTCAGCAGGTCTACGGGACTATCTGTGATTCTACGACCAACATGTTTACATTCTTTGTATCAGTGGGCCTGTCAAGGAAATAGGAACAATTGGGTGAAACAACAAAATCAGTGGGTGTCCTTTCACTAAGGTCTGTCACATCCAATATAAGAAGAAAAATGAATTGTTACATTCAGGTATCGATGCATACAGAGCTTAGTGACGCGTCTGTTCCCGCTTGACAGAGTCTAAGAGATAAGTGGTACATTGCACCGATGGGGGAGTCTGAAAACCTTTCCGTGGGATAGAATTAAATTGCTGTTTATTATTGTGTGTTGGACGTCACAACGAGCCTTGGCTGGTGTAAGATGATACTTTTTAAAAATGGTTTTACACTTGGGGAAATAACCTTATTTGCTTCCCTGCCGAGAGTCAGATAATTAATACTGCTCTCGTGTCTGTTTAGTAAATATGAAGATGGGGCTCTTTATATGAGCACGTAGTTAAAATAGTGTCCGCCTCTGTCAGAGTGGGAGCTGTAGAAGGTGCTGGTAGTTTGTTTCCTTTAGGCAGAGCCACGCTCGCCGTGTATGTCTGCAACCGTACGACACTTAACAGATGAAATAAATAGAAAATTAAAAAGATAGTGGCACACACCTGGAGTTCCACTCCGTGAGCTTGGTGGAGGGCAGCCGTCCATAACCCGGCGTGATGACGGTGGAGAGACGCGGGCTGACCACCGAGAAGAGGAGCTGGAAAGTCACGAAGCTGCCAGCTACCACGGTCAACTCTCTCGTCTCCATCACTCACCTAAACACGAGGAGGAGGAGGAGGAGGAAGGGGAGGAGAGGGTTGGGGGGGTGGGCGGGCAGGAGGACACACATGGACAGGTTAGTCCATGTGTTAGACCAGGTTGAGCAGTCGAGGACTCTCAGTCATCCTGGGCGGAACCAGAAGAGAAGCCGAGGCGGCGGTTGGGCGAGAGGGCGAAGCGCCACCCTGTGTGGTTCATCCAGTCCAAAGAAAAGAAGAAAAGGAAAGAGATAGATATATAGATATAGATAGATAGATGTATATAGATATATATATATATACGTATATATATATATACACGTACACGTACACACACACACACACACACACGTACACACACGTACGTACACACACACACACACACACGTACACACACGTACGTACACACGTGCGTGTGTACACACGTACGTACACGTACGTACACACGTGCGTGTGTACACACGTACGTACACACACACGCACATACACACACGCGTACATACACACACGTACACGCGTACGTACACGCACACGTACACGCGCACGTACACGCGTACGTACACGCGTACGTACACGCGTACGTACACGCGTACGCACACGCGTACGCACACGCGTACGTACGTACACGCGTACGCGTACGCACACGCGTACGTACGTACACGCGTACGCGTACACGCACACGTACGTACACACACACGCACACGTACGTACACACACGTACGTACACGCGTACGCGTACACGCACACGTACGTACACACGTACGTACACGCGTACGCGTACACGCACACGTACGTACGCACGCACGTACGTACGTACGCACACGTACGCACGCACGCACGTACGCACGTACGCACGCACGCACGCACGCACGCACGCACGCACGCACACGTACGCACACGTACGTACGCACACGTACACACACGTACGTACACACACGTACACACGTACATATACACGTACACGTATATATACACACACGTGTATATATATATATACACACACACACGTGTATATATATATATACACACACACACGTGTATATATACATACACACACATATATACATACACACACATATATATATACATACACACACATATATATA